TATACTGATGCCTTAGGCATGTATTATCTAAGTTAGGTTTAGTCTGCTTCTATGGTCTTCCATACTTGTGAGATTGTAAGCAATATGACTGATGGCTGCTACAGTCTCTCGACAGTAAGATACGGTACGAACCATGAATATAACCTATCTTTTAATGATTTCTGTCATAGGAAGCCAAATGGACAAAGAACGAAATATGCAATCAAGTACTTGGGGGAGCAGCTGACCAAATGACACCAATAAACACTCCTATATTCAGAACAACGGTGAACTATGTACATATCCTGATGCACAACCTACAACTTCCCAACTCCAGCGTTGGCCACCACAGTAGTAGGCACATCAGCCACCGGAATGTGATCAATCAAGGAGTCGATGTACTGCGACGCCATCGTCAAAACATCCGCATCAGTCCGTTCCGTCCACGTTCCCGAGCCAGCCAGGCGGTTCCATTCGCAGATGTAGCCCAGCGGGCTGGTGCAGGCGCTGGCTGAGTCGACTGTGGGCACGTTGTAGATGAGGGCGCCGCTGGTCAGCGACGTCTCGGTCAAGGGGGTGTCGACAGACTCAAAGTAGTTGCCCTCCAGCAGCGCCCACGTGTTGGTATCAATGTCGAACGCATGCCCGCCAATGTTCTGGAAGTAGTTGTTGACGCCATGAAAGAAGATCGTAGATTCAGTCATGTCCGTGCCCATGTGCGGCGCCCGACCCGACACATCGTGCACCCAGTTGTCGGAGAAGGTGTAGAAGTCCTGCTCGCCGATGAGCAACAGCGTCCAGTAGTGCTTGCCATTACAGCCCGCGGACCAGTCGGTAACGCCGTCAAACTCGTTGTTCGAGATGGTCACCCGGCCGGCCTTGCCCCAGCCGCTGACGATGAACTGCCGGCCGATGAGGGAGATCTTGTTGTGGTCGATCCACACCAGGTCCGCATCATCAAGCGTGATGGCGTCGCCTCCCCAGACGTACTGAGGGTTCAAGTCTGTGATGTGGATGTTCTGAATGATGACATTGCTGTTGCCGCCGGTGATCCGGAGACCCTTGCCCTTCAGCACCCCGTCGCTACCGACACCGACAATGCTCTTGTTGGAACCCACGTTGATCGGGTTCTTCGCGGCGTTGTCGTAGGTGCATGACACCCAAGTCCCGTCATCGCAAGTGTCCTGGATCCACGCCTGACCAGCAGAGGTGCCGCCCTCGCAGGTAGTCGTACGCGTGCTGCAGCACTGACCATCGGTGGTGCCCTCCGTGCCGGTAAAATCCCACGTACGGTCGATCATGATTGTCCGCGCCGTGTCGTCAGTCAACCACTCGACAAGCCTGTTTCAGAGTAAGCATCGTTCGTACCACCGTAAGAGAATCATCAAACATACTCGTCAATGCTGGATGGAGTTTCCGGGGCCGCGGAACCACCGCCAGTCGTGCCAGCAGCGAACCCGAAGGCAGTGCCCGACACCTGAGCGTTCACGGCGCTCGCAGACAGCGCAAGCAAAGTGGAAAACGTCGCAGTCTTCATTTTGCTGGTGAATGAGTTTAGTCTGAATTTTTCCACCTCTGCATCCTACGAAGAAAGCCCCCTTTATACACCATCGGCGCTATCACATTCACTACCTTGATCTGGTTCCATAGCTCCGGGACCATGACATCGCTTAATGTGATCAATCTCTGGCAACTAGAATTATCATGGTCGTTTGAGGGTGCAGACGGTGTCTCAATTATCCACCAAGAAGGGAAGTTGTCTGGAGCCTTGTGCACTAAGTCGGCGGGGGCTGTTTCACATCGTTGCCCTATTTGGCTGGCGGAAATGAGCGCCAGGCACACGCCAAGAGGCCCGCCGGACATTCACATTGCGATTGGCACCATCGTCACCAGGGATAAGGAGCACATGGAGTATATGCATGGCATACAGAGGAGCGCGGATTAATTATCCAAGCGAGATAAGGGCCGAGGCACGGTACCGTGAAACCGGTTGGCCGGGGCATCATGCAGCGCAGTGGTGGATGCCGTGGCTTTGGCCTACAACATGAGAATGAGGCAAAAGGGCCTCATCATGTTGTTCTGAGACCAAACGTATTCTGTGTCACCATAATGCAAGTTAGGAATACAAGGTAATCTTTCCGGTGCGCATGAGTCTTACCTCTGTGTTCCTCGTCTTAGGAACCAGAGTCCTTCTCGAAGTACCCGTCCCAGAACAATCAGATATGAAGACTTCCGTTCATTACGTAGCCAGGACCCCGAACCTGGACACCGAGAAAGCTTTTATCGTAGACTTTCAGTTGACCACGTCGAAGGTGCTTGCCGAGAGAATACCAAGCCTGACCATTGTCGCATGACAGTGACCGCGATTGATACCCCCGAAGACTGGAAGCTTGATATCCCCGGTTTCTGTGTTCTGCGGGACACCACCCATATCGACCGTGGAAAAGTCAACATGCATAAAGTAGTTGCGTAAGATCACTACTGGCTTGAGCTTGAGGCAATTTTGCATAAGTACTTTCCCCAATACTCGAGGATTGAGTGTTTTGATCTTACTGTGGGTAGTCTTGAGACTTGCTCTCCAGTTCCCGAGTTTGCTGATTTGATAAAACCTCTATGAAAGGTAATAAAGAGACACCCAGAGTTTCCAAACGTGATAAATACGAGCAGCCGACCTCTATCGTTCACTGTGATTGGTCGCAAAGTCGTTCAATTGGTGCTTTCCGGACAATGAAAGCTTCTGGGAGAGAAAGAAATCTGAGAATGCCACGTCACTACAGTAACACGGACCCAAACTTGATATTTTCAAGGTCTATCCGCTTCATGCACCGAATTGCAAGCTTCGGATCTTTTGAATGTCTCGATCGGGTGCTGCAGTTCGCCGCCAGATGACTTGTGATTCCTGTGACCCTGGACCTTACCTTTCGTGAAGCATCAAGCAGAGATCGTCGAACCTCTACTTAAGCATCAACATGCCAGTCTCAGAGTACCGAACAGACCGCGAGACTACGCACAAGCTAGAGACTCGTGGGGTCTTCGATAGCCTCGCCAATGATGATACTCAGGATGAAAACCGCTCTAAAGCCTACGCTCACCACTTAGCCCGGGCGTGCTGGCACGGGGGTCGGATTGTTCTTCGCCAGACTTCGCCTGAGTCAGAGGGAATATTTGACTTTATGATGGAACTGCACAGAGCATGCAACGGGCGATGGGACACTGTTCGTCATCTTGGCATCGAGCAGGAGGATCTTGATGCATGGCTTGAGTTTGCTGGCACCTTCCTTTCCAGCCTTGGTAACTATTTCGTCGGTGCCCACCACAGCCTGCGAGCTTTCAAGCTATGGCCTGATTTACTAATGCTGCAGTGACAGGATGATGGAGGCCGGAAAGCCACCCCGAATGTTCCCAAACACGCCCTACTCAAGATGGCGAGCATATCACCCGAGGCGACCGCGAAGCTTGAAGAGGTCCTTGAACCGATGATGGCAACCCAACCGGGTCGACTTGGGTATCCGGACAAAACAAGCCAGTCCGGCTTCTACCCTGGAACGGAGGAGATCACAAAGGAAGAGATCGAGGACATCACCAAGCTAATGGAAACCAAAAAGGTCGCCCCAGAGAACACTCGCCTTCGGAAGCTCGACCAGCGAAACACCTCGGCTCCCGATGATTTTGAAGTGTTTGAAATCCTCCAGGCTTCTGTAGAAAAAGACCCCATACCCCAGCTTCTTGGGGACATCAAGATCGGAGGCCAGCGTCAGTTACGAGTTTTGCTTTCCCGCGGCGATCATACCAAAGAAATGGCCAAGATTTGTGTAGAGCTCAGTGAGGCACGCAAATACGCCGCTACTGACGAACAGAAGACTGCACTTTCCCAACTCATTGAGAGCTTCCGCACTGGAGACTACGAGATCTTCCGTTCCGCCCACAAAACATGGGTTAAAGACAAAGCTCCTCCAGTGGAACATTGCATGGGTTCCCTTTTCGGCTATCGCGATCCCTATGGCGCGAGAGCGGATTGGTTAGCTGTAGCTGGTATCGCTCATCCCGAGGAAACGAGAAAAATGAGACTGCTCATTGAGCAGTCTCCGGAACTTATCCGCACGCTCCCTTGGGCGATACCTGATGAGAACAACGGGAAAGGACCGTTTGAGCCCAGTGAACTGGATGTCCCTGACTTCGCGATAATTCATGGTGAGCGTACCACTGATCAACGGAAAAGAGACACCACTCTGACAGTATCTCAGTACTCGCCTCTGTTTCCAGCACTGTTTGGGAAGCCATGAACATTACTTTGGTAAGCTTTAGAGAAACTTGTCTTCCATCAAATCAAGGATGGACATCATGGCTGACATTACTTTAGGACGACGATGATGGAAAGAGACACGGTGTCAAGAATCTAGTTTTCGGCAATCGAATGAGTCTCAATAGCAGTCCCGGCCGTCCATGCTATTATGTTCACCCTTCAGAGGCTGAGGCGTACATGGGCTGTGCCCATATCTCACGCTTCATCGGCACCGCCATACATGAACTTGTCGGACACGGGACAGGAAAGCTGCTGGCTGAGACGGGACCAGGCACCTTCAACTTTGATCACAAGAACAGGCCGATCAGTCCAATTACAGGCCATCCCATACAGACTTGGTATGAACCGGGGGAAACATGGAATAGTGTGTTTGGCAAATTGGCACCGACAGTGGAAGAGTGCAGAGCATTCCTAGTCGCAAACTACCTGGCTGATAACAAGGACATTCTCGCCCTGTTTGGATATGATCAGAATAGCAAGCCAACATCAGATGACCGTGAGTATCCCGATGACGGGGCAACGGAAGTGCCTACATGACTAACGTTGAGAAGTCATATATTATACATACCTTCGGATTGGGGTGGAGGGCCTTTGCGCGCTTAGTAGCTTCAAGGCGGAAGACCAAGCCTGGGGTGGTGACCACGACCAGGTGAGCTTGGAAACTGATGCGCTGAGAGAAACTTCGCTTGAACTGACGTTTTTTCCAACCTCTTTCCGTGTCTCAGGCTCTCTTTGCGATATTCAAACACATCCTTCAAGACGGAGATGGTGTCATGTGGGTAGAGCACGACCCCGTTGCCAAAGAGCTCTTTGTTCGCGTTGACCGCTCCAAAATTGTCTCCCACGGCAAACCCTCGATCGAGCGCATGCTGTGTAAGATCCATATCTGGCACTCTACCGCTGATATCAACGCATGCCGGCCTTTCTATGAGGCTCTGAGTGCGGTTCATGACGAGTATGAGATCTGGAGGCAAATTGTTGTCTCGAAGCCGCAGCCGAGGTGGAAATTTGTGCAGCCCAACACCTTCCTGAAAGATGATGGTACGGTCGAGCTTCGGGACTATGAGGCCAACAATGTGGGCATCATACAATCTTTCTTTGAGCGGAAAATTTGATTCCCGGGGGTTATATACTGAAGGGTCGAATCCAGCATCCATATTTTAGTCTTTCGTATGATATTTCCTCAGGACAGATCAATTCGGCAGGATGTAAGTGCGTACACAATGCATGTAATACTGTTGCTATGCGGGAGTGCTGTCAGGCCTGCCGACAGCTCTAATATGGTCGCCAGCCCACCTGGACGACAGTTTCAACACCACGTCCCTTTCAATAGAAGCGTCATGGCTCCACATAAATGCACTCCAGATTCTCTGAATAATCCTCAACTGACAATGCGGGTTTAGCCAAAGCCAACTTTTTAACCTCTGCGCAGAAGGATCCGGTCATGCAGCATCTGGGATCCCAGTGGCCAAGATATAGATTGGAAAGTGTCGTAGTATCTGTAGCAGTGGAGTCAGCCGAGCCAGGCCACGTATGAAATGCAGCTTCATGAGTTTGATTCGCCTATTTTCAACTTTTAGAAATAGGCTCTGGGTTAAGAAAGACGCCAGTATCAAAGTGAAACGGAACCTGCCTAAACAGACACGGGATACTAAAGAAGAGTCCGTTTTGATATTGGCCTGTTTTTCTACATCAAGATCTAGTCACAGATCTATTGCCAGGGCTTTACATTTTCCAAAATGGATCAGAGGTCTTGAAGTGGAGTGGTTTTCTGAAGTGGTAGCTGTCAGCTTTCACTCCTTGGTCAACATATCTATCGACTCTGGGCCCCTCTAGCGCACGGAGGTACTTCGTATCCCCGGGGTCTATGAGGACAGGATCAATGATATCAAATATAATAAAAGAACACGTCTGGATAAAATCACTGTGTAGATATGAAGCAAAATTGGCTGTCTGCATCCAGTGTTTATCGCAGAATCCGACAGCTCCACTGTCATATAACATCTGAACACTCACCGATAGGGATATCACAAACAGCATAAGCCAGGGCTAAAGAACTTCCACATAATTCATTGGCATTCTATCACACCCCGGTACTCCGTACTTCCAAACAAAAACCTCAAAAGGCACAACTCTGCTCCAACGCATTTGGATACTCTTCAATCGTCGCCAACTATTCATCCGCCTCTGTTAGCCTGTTCTAACCTGTAAAACTTCGAAGACTTACTAAGAAACGACGCGCCGCTAGCCTATCCCACCGCGCATTCTCCGCGCTACCATTCATGTATTGGAAGTCATTCCCGGACTCTGCGTTGGGAATGCTCAACGAGGGCCGCTTACGGCGCCGTATCAGACGGTATGCGATGTATATCGTTACGGTTGCGCCGGTTACCAGCTCAATCACGGCTCGCGATTTCCCCTCGTGTTTTGCGACGGGTTCAAAGGTCTGAGGTGTTGGATCCATCTTGGAATGGCCTCTTCAACAACTGCAATTGTGCGAAGAGTAGGAGCCATAGACCAACGACGAAACCATGTCTAAGAAAAGCATGCCTGGCCGCGTGGCCGCGTTCTCGTTCTACGTTCTACAGTGGAGCTACATCACTATGCCTTCATATCCTATTTCTAAATAAAGCCACACAATGACTGGATTGCATTCTAGACCATCTGGAATCTTCATGTGAACAAGCCGACAAACAACCTCTAAGCAAATTCCCGGGATAGGAACCATGGCATCCCAAAGCATAATTAATATGGCAACAGAACTCTCCCACGGACACACCACTTTCAATACAGTCGTCGATCAAAGAACCGGTGAGCAACAATTAACCGTTCAACGAGCAGGACCAACATCCTGCGAGAAAATGCATTTTGCATATTAGTGACCTGGGTCTCGAGGGCCTCCAGTTTCGCCTGGGCCCTCCACATCTCCTGCTCGATCTCGTCAGCATCCATAAACACCCAGTCGTCGTCTGGAGATGGGAAAGTGTGAGTACCGGTATTATCAGGGTCCTGGACGGCCTCATTCCTACATAGCCCAAATGCAGACAGGAGCCTTGCAACAATGCCAGCAATACCAGCCACAAGCAACGAGCAAACTGACGCATTACCTTCCCTCGCCTGTTCAGCAATCTTCCGGCTCAACAAGATTTCCATCTCCCTAATCTGGGCTTCGAGAATCGCCATGCGGTCTTCAGCAATGGAAATCGCAATCTGAATGTCATCACATTCCATGGTATCCTGATCAAATTTCGACATGTCAATGTCCTCAGACAGTGGGGATTGAACTGATGTACGCTCGTCGGTTCCGTGCGGCTGGGAGGAAGCAGATTGCATGTCGAAGAAAGCATCGCTCTTAGATGATCTGCTCGAATCAGGATCCTTGTCTTCCATCGTGGCATCAAACTCCATTTCTCCGTCTCTGTCTGTATCGTGGCTGCTGCATGGGTAGCAATCTTCGCTGGGCTGAACGGGCTCGCACGGGTCAGTGTCTAGGAGGGACTTCTGTCTACAATCGACGAATGGCTTGGAGTTGCTGGTCTCCTCGCTCCGCAGCGCGTCAACAAGTTCTGCGTCGTCAAAAGAGATCAGATCTGATTCTGACGAGGGAACAATGGCATTACCTTGAGAGCCCGGATCTTCTTGGATGTCGTCGGGTAAGGCGTTGAAAAGCTCGTCGCCATCGTCAGATCCCACCTCTCCGAAGAACTTCGCGAAAGCCTTAGCGTGATGACGGATCATCTCCTCTGTCAGGCTCTCGGCTTCCCCACTGGAAGGACTAGCAGCCCGCAATATAGCGTCCATCTCCGATTCGAGAGGGCTTGCACGAGCAGGAACAAACCAGTCCGACCCATCGCGCTCCATGGCGTTGGGAGGTGAGATCCCTCGGCTGTGTCGGTGATGGTGGTCAGTTGAATGCGCAGCGAGCCAGGCGTCTTCGCACTGCAGACACAGGGTCGGATGCTCGTCGGGCAGGCGCTGTTGGCGGGTTCGCTCGTCACAATGGGCAACTACGCCATATTGTAAGCCGTTAGTATACTCCACGCAGGCCTCCATGGTGAAGGTCGCGATGTGGCGGCACCGAGGGTACCGGTTGAAGGTATAGAGACACATGGGGGCTCACGTTTGAAGGCAGTCAGATACCACAGTTGGGCTGAAGATGGTAGTGAATTGAAAGCTGCTGCTGGTGACTATCGAGCACGTTTATATAATTCACTGCTGCAGTCTCGACAATGCGGATACAGTAGACAGCCGATAATGCACAAAGACATTATACAGAAACCACCCATGCAACGTTCTTTGACGGATTGTGCCACATCTGTCAACGCATCCAAACAAAGAGCATAAAGGCACAATACGCAGGCATCATGGGCAAATACCTTAACGCGTTCCTTCCAATACCGGGGATCCCTCCTTCCTATCCATCAAAAACCGCACGCCTGAATCCAACAGCCACCAAGCGGCCATCTCGTGCAGGAAGCGCAACACGGGTTTCTCCAGCGGCATGGTGGCCCGCTTTGTTCCGTGGGGTCCAGTCTCCCGCTTCGTCCACATCGCCGTCTCACTGTGATACACGATCTCCTCTCCGTCTTCGGTATACCGAATCACCAGGCGTCCGCCGATGGGCCCTTTGAGCAGGATGGCCAACACGGCCTTGTCGGGAGTCCTCTCTTCGACCCGGTACACGCCGCACACCAGGTCCCCTTTGTCGAAGTTGAGGGAGTGGATGTGAGAGGCGCTGAATGTCTTACGGTCTACAGGCGGCACTACGAGCCGGAGGATCCAGGCCTGGGGGAATTTCGCAAACGCGGTCATGTTGCGGCGCAGTAGCATGGTAAAGAGGTCGTCTGCGTCTTTGTTCGGGAGGAGGTCCCGTGGGACGCGACGCGATGCGTGGTCGTGTACGGCGTAGTATTCATCGGTGAAGACCTCTGGAGGGATAGAGGTGATGGTGGCGGAGAGGGAGCTCGGAAGCTTCCCGTGCTGAGACCCGTGGACAATGCGATGTTCCAGAGAGCGATGCAGGAAATAACAGTACGCGACAGCCGTGGAGGACGTAGCTAGACACAATGAAGTGACAAAGAGTAGAGAAGGCATTTTGTGATGTTGGTGACACAGATGTGTGGTATGAATGAAAGAAAGTCACAGTCAGAGGGTGAAAAACGACGGGTGCTCGGGACAATCCGGCAGTGGAGCCCATCGAACACGAGAGACAGACACTAAACAAGCCACCATCGTCTAGTTCGTGTCCAGCTTTGGTTGCATTTCACGACGAAATCATCTGTTGGAGTTGAGTATCGATACATATTGGTTGGGTCAAAGACACTGATAAAGCTGTGGTCGGTCAAGGTCATATAATTGTATCAGGACACATAATGTCCACAAGACAGAGAACAGTAGAAACAGGATGATGGGTAAATTGGATGGGTTTGCATCTCTATACATTCCAGGCTGATCTAGAAGCATCTATACTCCAAGCCACGATGGCCGATTACCTGCTGGCCGGAAGTGAGCAACGAGTCATCATTCCACGATGGCTTGACTTGTATTGTATTACCCAAATATACTAGGTAGTCAAAATTCCTCCTGACATTATGATTATCAGTCTTATCGTAAACTCCAAGACGTAACAAGCGTGCGCAAAAATGCAATAAAATCGACTCCTCCATCACCCACACCATCCTCATCCATCTGGGTATTGTCAACGGCCATCAGGACGCTGGAATAAAAGACGACGACCGCAGTGTCCTCCGATCACTCGACCATCTTCACCCATGCTTACCATTATGGCTCTCTCCTCTTCCAATCCCTCCGAAGCGCCATCCGATCGCTTAGTGCACCTCTTGCACTTCATAGGTCTGCCGCTGGGCCTTTCGTGCCATCCATTTACGATAGGCAAATAGCGAGAGGATGCCGAGACCCACGACGAAGACGATGCAGAAGACGAGGATCGGACCGGGATTTTCTGATGCCCAGTTACGCTTGAGGATCTGGCTCCGTGCTTCGATATCGGGGAGGGTGATGGCGGCCATGTTGCTGTCTTATTATTAGCTACTAAGCTTCGTTCTCGACTGTGCAAGTTTTGACCGCGATGCGATCTGAAACATACTGGACGGCGTGGATGGATATCCCACGAGCAAAAAAGAGACCGGTCTATATCGCGAGCACGAGATACCCGATAAATTCCAACGAAGAAACCACCGCACGGAGATGACCAGGGAGGAAGATGGAAGATGCCAGACTCTCCGGCAAGAAAGAAAGACGAAAAAGACAATAGCTTAGGATCGGTCGGAGAGCGTGTCGGGAGCTGCGGAAGGCCGAAGACTGCAGGGATAGCAATGACGTGGAAGAGATGAAAGTATGCAACGGTCAGCATGCATCTCCGGGGGAGGGGAAGGGCATGGATTTGGTACTAGGGTTCAGGACAGGAGTTTAATGGCTTTGCTTCTGCTGGTCATGATTCTATTTGGTGTGGCTATCGTGACTTAGCGTTCGAGTGTCTGGATTTTGATTCATACGGACCATATCCTAGACATCGATATCCTTCTGTGCTTGCTCGCTCCCAGTCTTCGGTATAAGTGACACGCCACGCTTACCCTGGTCGGTATCACAACCACCTCTGAACTGAAGACCGAGAACCCCATCCTTGCGATCAATTCTTTCATCTGCGATTGCAGACAAACTTTGGCGATGCGCCCTCCCGCTGGCGTCACCACTCGATCATACCCGCCGGTCGACGTGGATCATGACATGTACGAATCGGGGAAAGAGGAGAGAGAGCAGCTGAATGGCTAAGAAGACCGCAGTCGACAGGGATTGACTATCAGCCCATGCCAGTGCTCGTTGCTGTATACTTTGGGATAGATGGTGTTGTCGGCCATTGCTCTCATGACGTCATCTATATCAACCCATCAACCGCCTTAGCTAATCAGTGAATCACGACAACAATTTACAAGGATGCTCAGGACATAACTTAGATACTCGAATGGTCGGAAATGATAGTGAGGAGGAATACGGTTTCTATTTTCAGTATTTTCGACTGCTCGTGTCGAGTTCATCGCCCCATCCCAGGAACAGTGGGAGTGGGAAGCCAGTCGCAGAATGCAGCCCTAGATCTATAACCATCCACTCGTTGGCTTCAACAACGTGATTCTGCTTCGCTGCATCTGTCGCTCTTTATGATGCTGAATTTCATGCTCAGGAAAAAAGCACATCCGATCTATCTCTCTTATACAGCCAGCTGGAGATGATCAAGGGACTAACACGCACCAGAATCCACTCCTTCGTATTCGGCCCAGCAGCGCCAATCACCTGGCCATGTCAATCCCCTAATGCAAAGTCGAGGTTTCGATCGACGAGAAAGCTATTAAGAGTGTCAATTTTAGCTGCAGTACGAGCAGACGCCTTAGCCGGGGTTCAGGCATCTCTGGGCGTGCCAGTGGTCGAGTCCCGGCCAAAATTAGCAGACTCACGACTCGGTTCCTGCGCACTTCATCTGGGATATTTACTGTCGATCAACACCTGGATACAGATCAGTCAAAGCGCGAGTGATCGCTCCGTAGCCCATCTATTAGCAATACGAGCTGGTCCCTAGCGCAAAGCACGTCCATCATGGAGCATATGCATTAAAATCCGCTCCTCCCCACTCGTAAAACACCATACTATCTTCCTCGCCTCTCCCATCCCTATACCCTCCTCAACCCGCCATCATGGTCCGAAAATCCACCTGGATGGCACTACACGCCGTCGCATACACACCCCTAACCACCGCCTGGACACTCACATGGCGGAACGAAACCGCCGGCGCAACAATCGAACACCAAGACACCGCCCTCACCTGCACACGTATCTACCACGAAAAAGGCGAGGATTTCTCGTGGGACCCCGAGGGCGCCTGGTGCATGGACTTCTGGGCCGAGCCGACCTGCGACACCCGCATCGGCTACTCCTGCGACGGCCGCGTGTGGGAAAAGGCCGCGTCGCGAAACCTCTCCGCCTTTGACGTCTACCCCATGCCTGTGGAATCAAGACGCGTATACGGGTTTCTCAGCACGTCGGCGACGCCCAGTCCGACCGCTGCGGCGACGACGCTTACCGTTACGCATCCGGCTGCGACGAGCGCGACGCAGACGGCCGAAGCTGAGGGTGAGGGTGATTCGGGGTCATCGCTGTCTGGGGGCGCCATTGCGGGCATTGTGATCGGTGATGTGGCGGGGTTAGCTGTCCTCGCTGCGTTGTGCTTCTTTTTGGGGAAGCGCAAGCCGAAACATGCGCATGCAGCGCCAGAGGTCCCGTTGTCGCCTGCGCCTCCGCCGCCGCCGCCAGCAGCAGGAGTAGGGGCGGTGATGTCTCGCACCGATACGAATCGGAGCTATCCCACGCCGTATACGCCGCATACCCAGCCCGCGGCGTTCCCGTTCGAACACAAGTCCCCCATGTCGGAGGTGTCGGGGACCCAGTCGATGTATTCGGCTGCGCCGCCGTACTCGCCGCCGGCCAGCGTGTATCAGCCGCCGTCTGCGGCGCGGGTCGTGGAGCTTCCCGGGAACTATAATCAATTGAGCGAGATGGACGGCAGTTCGGATGTCAAGCGGCCGTTGAATTAATGGGTGCAGACAGGAGTTTGCGGGTTGCATATAGGATACATAGGGAAGCAATTATATTTTGGGGTTGCTTCAGCGTCAGATACCACATGTCATTCCATTCAGAGCATATATGTACTTGGTTCTAGCCATGCATGCTACATACTCATGATCGCTCGCCCTGAGTAGTAACGCCACTGTTAAACAACAGATCCGTCTTCGTCTCCCGATCCCAAACCCTGACCCCGTCGCTCTTCCGCCGGAAATACAGAATCCGATGCATCGGGATAAAAGCCTCGTCCGTCAACTCGGACTTCCACTGCCCAACAGGCATCTCCTTGGCCCCAAGGAAGCGGTCGTCGTAGCCAATAATGTAATTGTCGATGTCGATGTTTGCGTCCCATCGTAACCGACTGAGGATATCGCTTGCCGGACGCAACCGCGAGCCAGTAGGAACATTCCCACCAGCCCGCATTCTAGGGCGACTGGGGAGTTTCTGGCCTTCTGCTTCATCTTCATCCTCATCCTCCTCAAGATCAATATCGTCGTCCGAGTCATCGGAAAAGTCCTCGCTGTGCGCGGCATTCCCCCAGGACGAGCTGTCAACGTGGAGACCCCGGACCCCGGATGGCGAGACCAAGGTCACGTCGACCCAGTTGGAGGACGGATCGAAGTAGTTCTCGTCTCCGCGGATTGATTCAGCGAATGCGTCCAGAACCGCACGGAGGGCGGTTTCTGCGGACTGGCGGTCGACTGCGCTCATGGGTGTTGTGGACTTGGACGCATCGCCCCGAGTAAGGCCGATCAGGAAGCAGCCTTGATATTCGCCCTCGCTCTCGCTCGCCTCCTCCATGTCCGTGAATCGCGCGGGCCAGATGCGGGCATGCAAGTCGGGGAACCGTCGCTGGATATCTAAAAGAGTCCCATGCATTAGTGTCAATCTCTTGCCAGGTGGAATGCCAAACATACCCACGAGAAGCGAGACACATCGCCACTCCAACCAGCCGACTAACAGCCTACCCTTCGCCGCTCCCGCGCCCCAGTACTGCACATTCACCTTAGCATAGCTCGGGTACGAAGTGAGGAAGTCCTCAACGCCGCTCGAGCTCCCCGCGGCGCCGAGGAGGCCAGCCCAGGTGATTTCCGGCGAAGCCAGCTGCCGATCCATACGCTTGAATTCCTGCTCGAGTGTGCGTGCTGATGGGAGGGAAGCAGCCCTCGCGACGTTAACTTTGGGCGTGTTCTGGGTGAGGATCACGATGGGTTCTCTGGAGGTGCGGAAGTAGCGCGGCGCAGTCTTGTAGAAGCCGGGGTCGTAGACAATAGTGCGATCCCACTGGAACTGCGCGTAGTGCCGGAAAAAGGTGCATATCATGTCTGCCGCTGAGAGCGGGCCGGCCTTCTGGAACGAAAGCTTGCACACACTAGAGAGAAGGAGGGTAATGTGGATGCCACCCAGGTAGCCCAGCTTCGCGGAGTAGACTCCCCGGCGCTGGGCCCATGTTTTGATGAACCGGTAGGCCGAGCGGAAGGTGGCCAGGTCAGGAATTGTGCGCTGCAGGTAGTGCATGTCCCGTAGGGGGTTGAGTTTGAGCAGGGAACGCATTGGGAGGTAAAAGGCCGAGTCGTCGTCTGGGAGGTCGAGGGCCTGCGGCCAACTATAGGGGAGTGAGTTATAAACAATGAAGGTCAAGTTTGATAGAAGAGGCATACCTTTCAACGACGCGCGAGGCCGCACAATACTGCAGATCGACTCGCACACCACGAGCTTCCAGTTCCAACATGACGCCGGACGCGGCCTTGACCTTGCGCAGGATCTTGATCTCACCATGGATAGCTTTGCGGAGCTTGGCAACCATGAGGGCGAAGAATGTCCGGGCGCTGAGCTGACCGATGACCAGCAAGTCAATATCGGACGAGCTGTTCCAAACCCCGAGTCCGTAGGACCCAACAGGGACCACAGCAAACGAGAACCTCAACCGTGTGTCTGTGGGCAGATTAGGATCCCGCTGGTTCACGACTTGCCTGATTAGATCGACAACCTCCTGACGCTGTCTGATTTCCTCTGGTGATGGGAACGCGTTGTGGTCCCACAGAGACTGCATCAATTGTTCAACACCACCTAGAGAAGCTCGTGCCCTGGAGATGTCGATGGATGGTTTCTCCTCCACAGCATCCGACACAGCTTCGTGTACTTTCAGCACCGCTCGGATGCCCCAGTGGTCACTCCCCAGCTGGGCATCGACCCCGTCGGACGCGATATCGGGAACACCAAAGCGGTTCAGGCCAAGCACTTCAAAAGCTTCCCCTCGAACTAGAATTCGATCGTATCTCTGCGGCCGCTTATGGAAGCTTTGTCCGGGAATACGGGCAGCGAGATAATTCTCCGTCGGGTCAAAAGTAGCCCCCTCTTCGCCTTCATACAGCGCACCAAAGTCCAGCCCGTCCCAGGGATTACCTGGTGGATCACTACCAGATCCTTCAGCTCGACTGGCAAAATAGCAATCCAAAAGACCCCGCCTCGGCTAGCATGCCGCCCAGAGAGGACAATGTAGACGCAGCTTGTGGCGAGATAGACTTCCGCTTCACGGCCAAATCGAGCGTATAGGACGATGTTGTGATGTTGAAGTCCCCTGCTACTATCCAGTGGTTATGAGCGTATTTGCTGGAAAGATGATTGATTATCAGCTGCAGCTGAGACCGCTTAGTCTGAATAGAGCTGTCGATGAGGCCACAGGTGAGGTGCACGCCAGTCACGATGAGAGGCACGAATTTGGATTCGTGAAATGTGCCTACATTGTCCAGCTTAAGGACCACGGCACCCTTATGACGGGTTTCGAAGGGAAGCCACTCCCAGTGAAAGGACCATTGGCTGAGCACGACAATGTTCCGCAGACTCGTCAACGGGCTGATATCGGCCTGATCTGGCGGGCCATGTGTCGTAAACGGGTACCGCAGACGGATTTCCGGATCTCTGAGTAGAAAGGACAGAAAGTCGTCGGAAACCTCCTGCAGCACAAGAATATCGGCTGTCGCAGCCTCCGCGCGCAGGTTCTGCAGCAGGATGGGGTAGCGCTCTGTGGGCGGAGGATAGTGGGAGTCGATAAGGACATTGTACGAGGCTACCCTGAGCGATCCCACATGCGTGCATTTCCCAGTGGACGGCGATGATTCCGGGACTGCGATCCATTTCCCTTGTTCGCCGTCAGTCTGCGCCTCTTGATACTGGAAGGTTACTCCTGGCTCTGGATGAGATCTCGACGGTGGGGATGGTACTGTCGGCGCATCCCCGTGATACGTCCGGTCAATATTATCCTCCCAAGCATAGCCTGGTCCTGGTATGACAGCGTGCTCTGGAGACAATGGGATCTTCCCCCAAACCTCCATGCGACAAGCTGCGGTCGGCAGCCCCTGCGAGCGGTCCCGGATCAAGATGACCAACTCTGCAACGTCCCAATCAATCTCTGGCAGCAGACCCGCTTTTTCCACGAGAAACTGCCGCTGTGCAGGCTCGTCTGCCTCACTCTGGCCGATCGTGAGGTGTAGAGGACCGGGTTCATGCGACGGATGGCCAAAATCATCCAGGATCTCCCGTCGCAAATGGATCAGAGCTTCGGATCCTGCACTGCCGTGATCAGTCAAATAAATTGTGCTGCTGCGTCGGTGGGCGAAGAAGTCCGACCGATCCAAACATAGTCGGATGGCATCGTGCGATCGGCGGGCCAAGGTAGACTGGACAATTGTTGCTGCCTGCGTGAGACTCTCTGGCGCCACAAATGGATAGATCAGATTGATATGTGGCGGCCATCGTCCATGGGCCTTGTCGTACAGTGCTCGTAGACGGTCGATATCGCCGACCAGATGTGACGGGGGGAGCACACAGAGGGCGGTTTCATAAGAGGTCAGAGATGGCACTTGTGTGTCTTCCACGGCCGCCATGGTGAGTTAAAACAGATTAATTATGTAAATCCAACAGAAATGAATGATAAAAAGGAGTGGTACAATTGAAACGCTCAAGGAATCGCGGCCTATGCACGACTGTGATGAATTAGTCTGCGGTGTTCCCCTTCACATCCCCTTCTATATAGATCTTCCTCCCTGGTGTTTACTTTTGCAAATGCTCCGCAAGGCTGAAACTAGATCTCCAGCGGCTCCATATTTCGTGGGGTCATTGTTCCAGTTGCCAGTAATAGCTTTACTGTGAGTGATTCATGGAGAAGGTTGCAATGATTGTGAGTCACCGAAGGGGGCGGTGCACGAGTCACTCTGCCAGCTCAGTTCTCAGTTCTCCATGACTCAGCTGGGGTGTCGCAAGAGTCACTTACACGGTTTTCATGGCCAGGCAGTCAATATAGTTATTTTTGAACCATTGAGAGACAATAAGCTACCTAGTACTTACCACGATGTAGTTGGTGACTCCCTTTTGCGGCTTGCTGTTCCGCTCTGTGGGCGGATCAGCGCTTCAGACTGAGACACTAATTGCGCCAGTTTGCCATAGACGACTCCAGCTTCTCAATCTGACCAAGAAGAATGAATTTCTATCTTGAAGGCATAGAAATCCTAACAATGTCTGTCAAAAGGTCACACAAATCACGTGATACTGTCTCGCTTGCTTTGTGTGCCTGGTGAACATCGACAGCCGGCGATCAGGGCACGACCACATACAAGCCGCTCACGTCAATCATCATGGACGATGAGCCAACGCGAGTCATAGTATACACATGCGTTACAGATATACCTGGTGACCCCCAACGGCGCCATAATACTCTTGGACAGGCACTCTGCAAGCAAGTGTTTGGAAGGGAGTTCCATGCGGAGCTCCGGCCTTCTTCTTACGACCATGTTCATATTCCCGCTGATTTCGACTCCGACCAACCACTGAAACGATGGTTCATATTCGATTTGAACGTCAAAGACCAGATTACTGTGGAGGCTGTTTCGCAGATTCCACATGCGGTATACCTGGCAAGTTGCCAAAGCGGCGAATTGTACGCATCACACACTACCTAGAAAGGAGTAACGCTAATTCCGTTCGTTAGAATATTCATCCCACGCGATGTCTGGGCTGAGAAAGCAAAGTCCCGAGCTAAATCATACACATGGGGCGGGAAAATGGAACAAAAGATGGTAGATGAAATGAGAGAGAGATTGGCAGAGGACTGTCCATCTCCCAGTCAAGGAGATTCTGGTGGTGTTATCCCTCTGCATGCCGGGCATTCCTCATCATCTTTATCCTCTTGCCAGTCCCAAACATCTACTCGCTGATGAGGAGGACAGGTCACTCGATTTCGTATAGCCGGTCCACACCTAGCGATATACACGGTCGCCTCATGACCACAAACACCAAAGCGTCCTCGCACGTTGTCGCACATCTATGTCTGTTAACAGCATCTCCGGCCATTGGATTTCTACTTGCCTTTGCAGCTTGGTGTCGGTGGTACAGTGGTTATTAATACGGTTGGGTTTTGTCTATTCGCAAGTCAGTCTTTGATATCAGAAGTGCAAATAAGCCTCATACCCCACAGAGAGAAATGCCAATGACTCTTCTTAGCGTACGGTATGTGGAACAATCCACGCTCTCCAGCTATAGCTATTAGATGAGGTTTCCAGGCCGCATAGCTGGGAGTAAATCTCACAAGCCACAAGGAGGGGTAGTGGGATGACATGTCGCTCCCCGGCCAATATACCTCACTACGCCACGATCCTCATCTGGAAGAATCCCTCCCTAAGTATTGTGTCTTTTTCTATAATCGCGTCGTATTTCCAAGCTCCAGCTCTTCCGGGCTCCTTTTTACTGTTGAACTTTAGCAGCCTTGACCGACGATCAAACCCGTGCTTGCCACCTCGCTGTCAACATACTAGACAAGTCTGTAGCAAATTGATTTCTGCACAGTAAGGATTCCCCATGGTGGTTCGCAATGCAAACAGAGTATAATAATGATCCTTGCCTTATAGTGCGGCATCTATAGGGGACTGAAGCAGTCGACAGGGGGTTGTTCGAGGCCTTTCAAAGGCTTCTACGCTTCCTTGTCCCACTGCAGGCCCTACACGGTGTTTGTATTCATTCTTTACTTGTTCTTTGAAGCGATTGATTGCTCTACAGACTTGCTGTATCTTCTCCTTTGATCTACGTAGCGAACCCACGCTTCCTGAATCAGTCTAATAGCTACTATCCAATCCCCATCAGCCCATCGACGCGTTTCAAATCTCTACGCAGTCTCTTGCTTTCCCAGTCCACCAGTTAAATCCGAATTTCTATAATCACGGTTAGTCCTTTCGAATAAAGAATTATTACAACGTGGCAGCATGCCCTGGGTAAACATGGCAGACAGCAAGCTTTTATCATAGGTCTTGTTATTGGGTCCTTGGCCCAAGCCAGATTTACTATATCTTCCGGATCGGTTCCAGATTTTCTCACGTCATTTGGCTCGGTTGAGTCATTAATTACCCCAGTGACATCAATTGACGCCTTTTCGTCACGGTCAGGATATAGGCTTCATCAGTAGCTACGAGATGTTCGCCATGATGTCCGCGGAGAAGACAGTCGATGACTTGCTTCTACTATTGTGTCATGACAGTAGTGGCGACCCACTAGAACGTGTAACCTGGACAGATATCGGCATATACGCTACATAGCATTATTTACATGAGACGAAAACTGCATTGCTTCTGTTGTTGCTGGACAAACCCACAGCTTAGACAAGGTCATAGCACCCGACCTAGGATGCATCCTGTCAGGTTATCTCGTTAATACACCCCGTAACATAAATGCTGGATATGCAGAATGCCTTCTCGGGAAAAGTGCATATAGTGTTTAGCACCCAGCATTTACCGCAAGGGTCATTCGCCCTGGAAGCTTAGGGTATGGATTCCGGGTTGTCGGGTCGCGCCGATTGTCTCATCTTGCGGTATGCCCATGAGGCAAAGCCTCGTTTCGTCACAACTCCCAGGCTTTGTTAAGTGACGATGTAATGGAAACCTAATCTCGGTTGCTGGCTGTGGTGGCCACGATCTTTCCCTGATGCACAGAAGCAGCGGGAGAGTTCCCGGCCAGATCCTGACAGGCTTTTTTGGTTCTGTCTATGAATTGCCCTTATGAAGACGCCACAAATGCAAATCTGCAGGCAAATTGTTTCCCGTGCCCGGGATGCATATCTATATAGCATCATTTACTGGTCACCGCCAACGTACCACTGGTTTTTGATTCAGATCGCACAGACGGCCAAGATCGCCACTACATCACATCACTTTCTCAAGAGGTGGAGGATATCCCAGATTGGATATCCTACGCCTTTTGACTTTCCTCGAAGCAAGTAATCGGGAGGCTGGAGGGGTGGCGAGGTATACAGAAGGTCAAGACGAAGTATATATAAAGGACCATGCACGGCCAGAAGGGCCCAAACATCTCAACAATATTCAATTCCACATAATCGCACTCTCAAAACCACTTTCTGACTGTTAAACCACTTTTTTGAGGACCAATTTCTCTAAAAATCGGCAAGATGATATATCAGCGAATCCATACAAATGACTCCGACACGATCATCCTCCCGCTCTATATCGTACTCTTCCTCTACCACATGACCAACAGGGGAACATCCTACAGAACATACCATCCCGGTAGGGTCGCAGAATCATCATGAACAGAATCTTGAGCTAACCATGTCTAGCCCTTCCATGGCATTCAATAGCAGGCACTATCGAGATTGTACTCTACTACCTCGGCTTCCGCTGTTCGCTCATGGCCGTCGTCGCATGCTTCGTACACTCATGGACCGCCCTGATGCTAGTCAAGAACCTGGGGAATGGCTACCCGCCTCTGACAAGTATGGACTGGCAACCCACCCCGATACATATGACATGTATTAACGATCATAGGGCCTGCCTACCAGGCCGGCTCAGTGATGCGGCCTGCGCAGATGCTCTACGCATACTATACGCAAAGTCCAGCGGACTACCACGACGCCCTCATGCCCATCCACTCATTCGTTTATACTCGAGTTCTGATCTTCCTTATGGGAACGATGGGTCCGACCCCCTCGTTCCAGAAGAACGTCAACTCGCGCTTCGTGTACTCGGAATCTATACTTGGGGGCGCCCTCATTGCCGTCAGCCACTCCACCAAGCCCGAGGCAATTGCAGTTTATGCGAGTATTATGCACATGGTGGGAAAGGTCTCGCTGTGGGCGCGGAGAAGGCATGATGCCGAACGGTATGTCGCAGTATCAGACCTCCACCATCGTGAATATCGCTAATGTTGTGAGTGCAGGGAGCAGGGTGTTCCGCTGTCGAAGTCTGTGAGGCTGCTTTCCTACATGGGCTTCATTACCAGGGGCAAGCGGCTGGTGAACTCTTCGAAGGCCAGCAGCAAAGAGGCACCTGAGATTGGACATCTGTATGGAGATCGGATGGGACATTCTTGGGCGAGTGTCAGCTAGCTGGATGCAGGTCTGACCTATGCGTTTCTATGCACGAGAATGCTGTGATCACACATCTTGGAAAGAAGCTCGCGATGTGACGGCCGTTTGATCTATCCCTTCCTTTTTCGTGTATAAATTGAGATGATTTATATAGCAATTACACCGAGCACGTCCCCCATGACAAGGGGGCTTCAAGATAACCAGAAGTCAGGGACAAACCGCATATAGATTAAAAAATCCACACATGATGAACATGGAAGACATGAGTATTGTTGCATAACAGAATGTTTAGGAAGATATTCACCTGGTACAAACCATTCCTTGTGCTATGATAGAGACAAATGCAACAACTCCCCATACCCCTTATTTCAACCACGGCACCTCTTCAGGCAGATACTTATAAGCCCTGAAAATAGCATTGCTCTCATACGCAAATCCCATCCGCTCCATCTTCTCCAGCTCATCCGCGCTCATCACGCCCTTGTAATCACTCAACTGCGGCACGACAAATTCCCAGACCGTCTCCCCCGTCTCTGTCACCTCCAAGATCCGCCCAGTAGCCGCCTCACAGAGCAGAACATTCCCGTTCTTCAACTTCTGCGCAGACCCCATGAACGGCGTAAAAAACCCCAAGCCCCCGGTACTCGGGTCCTTATATTCCCAGCGCACCGCCTTCGTCTCACGAGATACAATAATCGCTCGCGAGAACGGCACCGACACCCCAGGCCGGAACACCCCATTGTCGAAGACAAGTATCTCCCCGGACGGCAGTTCATGCGCACAATGCTGCTGGCTGACCACCGGCGGCGCAAGGTGCCACAACACCTCTCCCGTCTGGCGACTGATCACGATCACGCCGGACGTGCTGCGCAGGGACGCAATGATGTTGCCATCAGACGCGAATGAGACGCTGTTGATCAGCGGCCAGTGTTCGCGCGGGTAGTGCGCAAGCAGAGGGAACCGCTCGGGGTCAAGGTGGTCGACTGCCCGCCACGACCAGAGAAGCTTTGCGCCGCCGCCAGTCGTGCCAGCCTCGCTTCTGCTCTCAAAGTCAGCCGATGATGACTTGTTGGATGTACGCCACGGATCAACCAGCTTGATGCAGTCGGCGTACACCGTCCCGCCCGGCGCTTCGCTGTGCGGAATCCCGCCCCGGACGCCTGCGGCTTCTTCAGCCGTCAATGGCTCCAACGTTGTGTAGAGGAGCGTGCCGTCGTCAAGGTGGTTCTGGTCATGGTGCGCGCGCGGATCATGGTATTCGCGCAGCACTTGACCCTCCGGCGAGACTTGCATCATGATGCCGCCGCGGTACTTGGCCCACATGGGGAACAGGCGGGGGCCGTCTGGGTGCACGCCGTTGTAGGCGAGGTTGCCGTCGGGGAGGATGCGGGCGTGCCGGCCTGCGCGGTAAGGAAGATCCCATTTGTGTACCTCCTCGCCTGTGGTGGATACGAGGTGCGCGGTGTTGGAGGTGAGTGGTGTGTATAAGACGTAGCCGGGGGCTACTTTTTTGGCGTCGACGCCGCGGAGACCGAGGCCGCGTCTGCGGAGGGTGTGTTGTTCCATCTTGTTTTCGAATAGGTACAAAGAAATGAGTTTCATGAAAGTGCTTTATTATGGCTCGATATAAATATCTGTGTGAGCCGGCCTACGACCGGCATGCCGCGGTTGATCCGCGGTAAGATACGCTGATCGCTGATAAAGCACGCAACTGATATGGCGTCAGATGGCGCTCTGATAGACTTATCGGTATGCCGCGGAGGTCAAATAGCATGCAAGTATATGAATAGGGGATATCCAAGTGGTATGTGTGGCCATCGTTGTTCTGTTTGTGCTTGCCGCTCATGATGGAGGACGCAGTATATCACTCCGAGAAGACATCCCATGTTGACGACGTCGAAGCACCCACGACATGGACTCAGACACTCGCTATCGAAAGGGGCGGTATACAACGGGTGACAGATGAGCAGCGACAGGAGAACACGACCAAGTTTTGGAACGCTTGCACATTCTGGTACGCCGTTTATATCCAACGCAACTTATAATCGACTGACTCTCCAGGCTGAGCGCCAACATGGCAGTGGCTACCCTCAACACTGGCACACTAGGAGGCGTAATGGGTCTTTCGTTCTGGGATAGCTTTATCATCATCCTCATCGTCAACCTCCTCAGCGACTTACTCCCAGCATGGACTGCGGCGTTTGGCCTGACAGGTCTCCGAATGACCACCTTCTCGTATGTCCCCATCCACCCTCCGCAAGCTCATACCGATACTAACACCCACAGACGCTACTCCTTCGGCTACTGGGGAAACCTCCTCGTGGTCATCTTCTCCATGATTGCGACCACAGGCTGGAACGCCATCAACTCCATCTCCGGCGCGTCCGTTCTCGAAGCCCTCTCCGACGGAAAGTGTCCTGCCTGGGCCGGGGTAATTATCATCTGTACGACGGTATGGATTATCTGCGCGCTGGGAATTACATGGATTCACCAACTCGACGTATTTCTCTGGATACCCCCGTTGGTCGTCTGGTGCGTCACAGCAGGAACTGGGGCATCGCATCTCACAGCCGCGAAAGTCAAGGACTTCGAAACGAGCGAGGATAAAGCAGCCGCTGTATTATCTTTTATCGCAATAATCTTCTCCTTTTCTGTCTCGTGGGTCAACTGCGCAGCCGATTACAACGTCCGCATGCCGGTGGACACTCCTCGCTGGCGAATCTTCTCCGCTACCTACGTCGGGATTCTTGTCCCATCGGTGTCAGTCCAGAGCCTTGGAACGGCGTTATACACCGGTACTGTGACAAGCGCAGCTTGGGGCACCGCATACCAGAGTTCTGGGGTAGGCGGGCTGCTGAAGATGGCTCTCGAGCCCGCAGGCGGGTTTGGAAAGTTCCTCATGGTGCTCGCTGCGTTGAGCGCTATTCCAGTACGTTACTTTTATTCCTACTATGATCGGAGACAACACTAACGCTTGCTTAAGAACAACATCCCCAATAACTACTCCTTCGCGCTGCATGCGCAGAACTTCGGTCCCTGGGCCGCGCGCATCCCGCGCATCGTCCTCGTCACATTCGGCTTCGTTGCAGCCATCATCGTTGGCAGCTGCGCTGCGGTGTATTTTGAGGATACACTGCAGACATTCCTCAGCGTGATTGGGTACTGGACGGTCATACACATCACTCTTGTTGCCGAGGAACATGTCTTCTTCCGGAGAGGTTGGAGTGGGTATGACCTCGACGCCTGGGATGACCCTGCAAAGCTGCCTTTTGGCTGGTCTGCCGTTGGTGCGTTTGCAGCCGGCTTTGTGGGCGCTGCACTGGGCATGAAAGTCGCCTGGTATGTTGGGCCTGTTGCTAGGAGGATCGGATCTGGGGCAAATATTGGACATGAGTTGACGTTTGCCTTTTCTGGGATCGCGTTTTTGGGATTGAGGTGGTTGGAGAAGAGGGTTGGTGGACGATAGAATATATCTCCGATGTGGTCATGAGCTGGTTATGTTTATAATTTTGTTTGCTTATATACAACGGTCCTCAATTATTCTCCATCAGGATAGATGATCTAGGTAGTAGGGAATTCCCAGCTGGGCAGGAGATCCCAACTCCCATCGCCTGTCGTCTCTACACCCAGGAATTCCGGGAAATACCCGGCAAGGTCTCCTCCTAGCCAGCTCTCTGCTGTCTCTGGGACTGCCGTTGGACGATGCTTCCTCGGTCGTAGCTTCTGATGAACCTTCGAAATCACAGTTCCCAAGACGTGACCGACATGGCACGGGAGCCCGATAGACTGGAGCCATGCAACGAGAGCAAGAATAAGAGAGTCCAACTCTTCCATATTATGGGTCTGCGTCAACTGCTCTTCATACCCATTCAGTAGTCGACAGATAATGACAGCGGCGAAGGTGATCATATGATAGATATGGTCAGAGAGATGTCGGGTCCGCTCATCTGTAGTATCCATGGCGAGTCGGATAATGGACGTCGAGTGCCGGATCATCTCGGAGAGGACTGACTCTCGGGCTCGCGCAGATTTGGATTTCAAGGATTGATCGTATAGTATGAGATGGGCGAAGTGGAATCCCATGAGGAGGAACTGCGCCCGTGGTTGTTCTGTCATTGCGTCAGATCAATTCTGCCATTGGGGCGAGAGTCACATACCCAGAACAAACTGCCACTCCTTCCTCCAGCTTTGCAAGTCGGCAACTGATTTGAGAAGGTCAATGGTTCTTTCGGTGGTGTTTACGTAGACAGCCCAGTAAAGAAACACCTCGGCAACCATCCGTAATTCGTAGTTCGTTACACGGTCCGATTCCACGATCGAACGACATCGAGCGATTTGCGCTTCTTGCAACATGGACAGTCTGCTGGTGCCAACACAGTAATGCAGGTGGACAAGACAGAGGTGGTTCCATAGACAGCAATAGTCTAGGGTCGTTTTTGTGGGCTGCGTGCCTCCATGTGGCCTAGCCTGATCGAACACGCCGCTGGACTGCCAGTGCTGCAGGGCGAACCCGCTCAGAAGCCAGCTGTCAATGCTCAGTGGGACTTGTCCGACTGTTGTGGACCACATTGAGAGAATTAGGCTCGCCTGGAAGAATTCGATCGGCTGGGGTGCGTCCAGGAGGGCATTGGAAACAAGAGATCGGGCGCATTGGTAGAGCTTCGGAGCTAAGTTCACAGCAAGATCTTCGGTGGTATGTCTTACCGCAATCAGACAGCAGGCACATAGCAGTAGCGGCGATCTTGATACTTTCTGCAGTAGGTCCTTCGGGTCGTTCTCTTCGTCGAACAGAACCCAGCGGCCGTAGTGCTCGGCGAAGCTTCGTGGTCTTAGCGTGTTGTCAGTCTGTGTGGACATGGACGTACATTTTCAAAAGACTGAGCGCCAGATCAGGTGTGATCAATCCTTCGAGGACTGATACATGCGAGCTAGTCTCTGGTGACTTCATTCCGATATCCGATGCTAAGTCGCGAATAACCATGACAGGCGGTGCCGATTGAGCTTCCGGTTTTGTTGATACGGCGCCTGCACTGACTGGTGTCTCTGTTCCAATCCTATTCTCTGCTAGTCGTGTAGCTGATCTTTGACCGGTCGTGATGCTGGTTGAATCTTCTCCCAGTCGTTCTAGCAAAGCACCAACGGTCGATTCCAGCTGGGCCAGTCTACCCAAATTTTAGTACGGCGGAAGCATGCTGGGCAGCCTCTTACCTCGCCTCGGTGCTGATACTCGTAGCCACGACCTCCTCGCCAGCACTCGACACAAAGGAACATCGCTGGCGAAGACGCTCGCAGCGTAAACATGGTCTTCCTGATACTCCAGACTCATAACATCTTGTCTTTTGCTTTCGACATGTGACACAGGCCCGCGAGGCTCGTCCTCGATCAGGAGGCATTTTCCATGTCGGTTTGATACATGCAAATGTGCAGCAGTTGCGACGATAGTGTGGAGACGGACTCTCGCCATGGACCGGAGACATGGCGTCAACTAGCGGCCATGATAAGCTAGACCTCGGCTATCTCCGATCGTCTTTATTAGTGTCCTCGCGATATCATCATTTGTTCTGTCGAGTATTTCGCATTAAAGGGAGGTCATATTTCTAAACACCGACGAGCGCATAGAATGGTATCACATGGTATCTAAGGTATGCAACAAATGCGCAAACAAAACATCTAGCTCATTACACCTGGAAGCACCTCCGATCAACCGCTCCGCACGTTCTGATGCACCTCAACTCTGCCACTATTGTGCCAGGTTGCCAGAAGAGCGCCGCATTTTCCGCAGTGGTGATGCATATCCTTCAGCGATGTCATCAGGTACGGGATACATCCTAGGCAGAAGCAACAGCAAAGCACGGCAGCCCATCCACTACACCACGTCAGTTTCTCGCCTCGGTATGATTCACAAGTGATACGTACTGGGTCGTGCTTCCGGCCTCCGCCTCGACTCGCGTCATTTCGCGATATCCGCAAACAGGGCAGTCCACCGGCGCAGGTCCACGTTGTAAAGCGTGTAGGGGCGACGCTGTGTTGTATCCGCTGGGGTGCTGCATGCCCCCGTAAAAGGTCATCTGGTGCGATTGGTCCTTTGTTTGCTGCTGGCCGTGGATGGGATCATGGAGGTAGGCGATGTCCGGTTGGATGGGTCCTTGATGCTGCTGTGGGTATGTTGGTTGGGGAGACATGGGCGTCTGCTGAGGCTGGATAGGAGTGGGTTGGTAATGAATCGGCTGTGGCTGCTGGTCGTACACCGGCACTGGTGCTGAGACGAGTCAGTGTGCTTCGTGACTGCAGAAGGTGGAGAGAATCTTACTGTCGCTGATCTTTTCGGCCATGATGAGATGGGTTCCTCTGTTGAATGTGCTCCGGTCGTTGGAGAGGGTCTTGGAAATTACACTGATCGGACAAAACACTGAATATGTTTCCTATGTGGGAGTCCAAGAGCCGATGAAAAGTATTAGGGAGACTTCTCAACCTTAGGCGGCTCCTCGTAATCTTATACAACACGACTCTGGCTCATTTCCCCTATCACAGCCACAAAGAATCCCCAGCACATGGCATCTATTTCAGGAACAGCCAGTCACACATCGTCCTCAGACAGCCTTTGCTCCTAACGACACAGTCCCTGGCAGTCGACCATTTACGGCGACGAAAAAGCAAGTTCAAACCCACTGATATGCACAGGATGAGCTGTCACGGAGCTAGTGCGCCCGTTAATACGAGGCTCTCTGAGCCTCTGCCTTGTGGGCTATGCCATGACTAGTAATGGACGAATCAAGCGGGGCCTGGCCGAAGAATTTGGTCAAGTCGATCCTTTCCAATGGGGGGTCAAATACGAGGTAGGCAAAGCCCCCTGGGTCTTCCTTTGTTAGCGTCAGTGCCCATCACCTTGGCGCTGCTGAGCCGAACGCCCTAGGCTCAGCCTTGCACAGGAGATGGTATTGGAACTGCGGTGGACATTGGCAAAGGGTCGTCAGATTGAGTTGTAGCCGTAATAAGCATAATTGAGCGGGACCAGCAGCCATTGCGTGTTGCTAGTCTACTATTCGTCTAGGTTGTCAAGACAGACACTCTCTAAACGCATGCTGCACTTTGCGCTGTGAGCATTTGAAGTGGTTGTTTCAACGAGAACTAGTATAATGAAAGATTGCATTTTCATTCAAACCGCCGATATATATTCAATGCAGCGTCATTGAACAAAGCCATTGAACAAAGCCATATATTCAGTTCTCCGTGCTTACCAAGCAGAATACTGGCCACCTCGTCTATGGGAAGCTAAGCTCGAGAGACGGTCTTCGATTCCGGTATATCAAATCCTTGAAAAGCCCAGTACTCACTTTCAGATCCAAACTCCAAATCGATTTCTATTAGACTAAGTTAGATTAGCCTGAGTAAACTATAAAAGAAGTTCGATTCGCTGTATGGATTCTTCCTGTATGGCTTTGTCCCTGGGATAGGATTTTCTCAAAAGCATCTAATTTCAGATAATATTTCCAGTCTCTCCGGAACGCCAGGTATATCATAACATAAAGGGTCGGGCACCAGAATCACTTTAAGGAGATGTCATTGTCTTGACTCTGCTGTCCAGTTGCAGGTGTGTTGCCAGTCGTTGTTGGTTCTGCTTCCTTTTCATCTGGGTCTTCTTGTTTCCTGTCCTCGTTCTTCTTCGGGTCATTCCCTTCCGCATCACTCCCCTCCGGCGACGCCACAGCCTTGAAGTCCTCGATCCGTCGCCCGTTGTCATAGATCGGCGGATTTGCTAAATCTGAAAAAAAGGGCCTCGGTCCTTTGTCGAGGCAGCTCATCCACGAGTACTGTCCAGCCACCTGCCGGTCCGCCCGCGGCTCCCTCCGCACATAGAAAAGCCTCCGCTTTTGAATAATGTAATGGATGGGTCGCTGGGTGCTGAAATCCTCGGAAATCTCGGTGCGAAGTCGCTCGTCGCACTCGTCGAGGAAGAGATCGAAACAGATGTACACGATATTCGGAGACCCAACCATCTGAACGATGTTCAACTGTGTACTGAATCCGGCCGTTTCTTGTTCAACTTCCCGGAGTAAGGTAGTGCAGAGTATCTGAACTAGCGACTGTGACCAGGAGATGACCTCTGCCGAGCGCCGGGACTTATCACGATGGTACTTGGCCCGGACCACGCACCGCAAGGTGAGGTGCTCCTTCAATGCTGCGCGAGACTCTGGAGCGACTTGGACTTCCATGCGTGCCATGGCAGCGACAGTATGGATGTGGATGGTTGATCGATTAAAGGAAGTCTGGCTGAGGAGGATGTCGATGTCACGGTGGAAGATACATCCAACTGTCGGTATGCGCCTTGTAGGTCACGTGGAGGTGCCCCCGCGCATGCCCCACCTACTATATATAGCCTCAGCGCTTATAGAACATTGAATGAGAAAGTAGGGAACGTTTCTTTCGCAAGTATTGGAAGATAGCCCTCCATGAGAGGACAGATTTAGCGGGTGAACAGATGCATGTGCCATCTGGAGCTATCGGAATTGGGAAAGAATATCTAGTGGGAAGAAGGGAGCAAGAAGCGTACTGCATATATCCATTGTTTGTCAATGCGCATAATCACAATGCTCCTGCCCAGACCAGAGATGGAGAACAGACCTCGAAATCCTTCAGACAATGAGGAACGTAAACATTTTGAACATCAATGCCATGTCAACCTTCCAAGTGGTGGGCTGGGATATGGAAGAAGGCTTTGGATTTCTGGAGGATTGGATGGTTCCCGAGTCCGGGAAACGTCCGCTTAAACTAAGGTTGAAGCCAGCAATGTGCTAGTGTTGAGAGGCTCTAAGTCAAGCTGGGAACGTTTCAAAGAGATATGGCCAGTAAATTGGCCAACAAACTGGGCCTTCTTAACAGTGTGGAAGAGTGAATTGTTCCCGAAGAAGAGAAATCCATATGAAGATCACAGACTATAAGGTCTTCGCATGAAACTGAACTCAGAGCAATAAATTTCAAAAGAAAAGCTTTGGAGATCCATACATGATGGAAATTAAAACATAAATGTGTACAGCATCCTTAATCTTGATTGACATGTTCTCTGTACACCTCCTCGGCGGCACTCAAGCCTTATTCACGCACCATAAAGTGCTAGAGTAACGAAAAACACCCCCCGACTGAGTGATGAGGACCGGAAGCTTGCTGAAATGTAGACTTAGCCATGCTGAATGTGTGTAAGTATGGATCTTCTGCTATGGTTGGTGTATGTATCTACTTACTCTGGTGTGAAGACGTATCACGTACTCCAGTCACTGAAACCAGAGCTGGAGCCCGATGAATAGCCAGAGTCACCGTCACATCGCTGACATGGCTCGGGACTGGTGTTATCGTGGGTGGTCTCTCTCGTGGCAGGATGCGGTGTTCCCACTTGCCGGTACCCACAACGCTGTAGACGGACATGCATAAGACACCCCCGGATTGGGCAAAGAGTATGGTAATAGTCGCACATGGTATTCTCTCGCTTGTTGGCTTAGGATTTTAAGGGACGGCCTCGGCGTCTCGTGAAGTAGAAGTAGATATATTGAGGGAAATGGCTGGCTGGCTGGCTGTTGTGACTATCATCGTGACAGAGACGTTGGGAAACTGTTGCCTTTAAATAGATCGAAGGGCAAGTGTTCTACTTTGCTTCAAAGCCGCCTGCCTCCTGATCCCGCATTCTGAAGATGCGCCTGAAGTGCATTTCCTGCGCTAAAGAATGGTGAGTTGGTAGCTGGCGGCTAGATTTGCGGATCAGTAGAGCGCGCGTTTGATCAGAGCCTATAATTCCATGTAGACGGGGATCTATAGGGATGCAACTGCGGCAACTCTGGTTTCAGCAGTCGCCCTCCTCACTACGTAATGGCGATAACTATGGAACTAAAGATATCTCCCAATAGAAGGTCAACATCTAGTCTTACTAGAGTTACTCCTTTCCATGTGATGGCGCCAACTATAGTGATGGCAACAATTGGCGTCAAGTGATTGTTTCCCATTTTGTCGTGATTCAAAGCAATCAATTTTTTGACAATCCAGATCGGCTCGGTGAACAGTGAAATCTCATCCTTCTAGACCTCATGGCTGTCATGAAGTGCGTCTTATGAGAAGTTCATCTTTCATGGACGCAGGAGAGGGATTGAGGATTTAATCGAAGTCTCAGCCTCATGATCATTAGCCGCCCAGTTCTGGGGCTAAAACAAGTTCATATAGGCGACATCCCAAACCTATCCTTGACAGGGTGACCGGGGAAATACGCTGGTCTAGAACGACTACCTGTGCGAGATGTTTGGCGCGCGGTTCGGTGGTACTCTCTATTGGTAGCCAGACCTTCTTCTGCCGGATCGTTCACTGTTGGACACAGGACAAGTCGCGGCGGAATTGGCTGGTTAATCGTGGTGCTCCCTGATCCCGACTGTCCGCGGGATCTTGCGGTGCAGGACCTCAACATGATGAGTTTGGGAGGTATAGAGCGGTCGGCCTCCGAATGGCAACAGCTGCTGGAGTCGGCTGGTCTGGTTCTAGGGAAATTGTGGATTAATGAGGAAGGTCCGAAGCATGCGACGATTGAGGCTATCTTGCCGGGGTTCAAGAGTGGTAGACTTTGAAGATGTTGGCCAGGTCTATCTCCAGTAGATAGTTATATTCTTTTCATCCATTGTGCGAGATCTATATGTAGGGCCTCAGGCAGCAACTCCTGTTCCCTTGTGTTCTTCCCCCTTTCTTCTTCATTCCTTACTCTTTCACTTTTCACACTCTCCATAAAGACTTGCAGTGTCTTTTGATTTTGATTCCAGCCTGTCTACATAACAGTACTATGGCAAAGACGCCATCCTTGTCCACAGATCTGGGTCTATACCTCATCTCTCCAGCCAGACGCTCTGGCGAAGCTTACTCATGTTGAGAACTATTGGTAAGTTTGTCAAGTCGTACGTGATATATTGACGAACTGACGTCGTTCTCTACGCCTAGTCGTGCATTAGAACCGGCTTCGACGACTGAACCACGAGACTTCGAGACAGATGGATTTGCGACAAAGAGGAGAATATTGATTCCCTAGGAATGGGCTCCAATTTCACTGCCTCTGAACGAAGTCACACTCTGTCGTAACTTGACTGGTCCAACCTGGGCTCAAACGCAGGTCTCCGTCAGATGCTCGTCAGCTCAGGGTCCCCTTTATATTCCATTCTCAACTTGGGTGGGCTGTGTTGTATCCATTCTTTGGGTGCTCGGCGTCCTTTGTTATATGTATTGCTTGGGTTGGTGAGATATGGGTGATATACTGGTCATGGGTCTCTAAAGAAGCCTCATCGATCGTTTCTTACGGCCACCAAAACCGTTTTCTGGATTTCAACTATCTATCACGGAGTATTGCAGACAAAGTACATCAAAAAGATAAACAGAGAACTGCGAGATCTTGGAAATTTATAGCCACATCCCTCCAGTCCTCTCAACTCCGTACTCCACGAGAAGTCTTCAAATCCCGTTTTTCTTTGAGATCCTGCTAGCTATAGAACAGATAAACCGCAAAAATTGACGTTTTGTCGCCCTTTATGAGTTTTATAGGTGACAACTTTCTTTGTTACAGCTGAACGGCCCCAAGTTTTGGTAGCGGATATATCGATTACCTGTCCTAGCAAATGGACATTGCCTCAACAAGTATCCACTAACGCAATCGCCTTCTGGAGGACAGTCCGATCATTCTGGAAGCTTAGCTTCTGCACTGCCTCCTCCAAGGGAAAAAACAGGGCACTAAACTCCTCCTCGGCCTCCCCAACAGCTCCAGAAACCCCTTCATCCAGCGCAGCAATATACCACCAGATTATCTTGACATCGTTGGTTCCTTCTCCGCCCAGCTGTCGCATGGTGACCATGAACGGCTCAGTAAGTTCCGGGTACGCGCGAGGCTTGTCGGGCATGTGTCCCTGTTCGTCCCTCGGAGGCGCACGAGTTCTCATCGTGACTGGATGGAGATGGGCTGAATAGCCTGTCTCTTCGCGAAGCTCACGCAGCGCGGCTTCATGTCGGGATTCACCGCAGTTGCGACGGCCCTTGGCGAGAAGCCATTCGTTCTTCGCGTGGTAATGGATCAGGCACACCTTCTTCTTTTGAGGGGAGGACAAGTCGAACAAGACTGCCCCGCAGCTTTCGACGAATTGCTCCGAGGTGTATTGGGTGGTCATGTTTGGTGAAGTTGCCGTGATGGATTGCTACCGTAGTCTGGAAGTCAGTATCCGCCTGAGAACGACTTGGATGAGAGGGACGTACTCACAGGGCTCATCGAAATTTTCTGGTTCTGCAGGGTCGGGTCGGGTTTGGAAAGTTATAGACCGCTCATTGCCAAAAGGACACTCTAGTTTGATCTTTGTTAGATGTGGGCACCTCCCCTCCACCGCACGTTAAACAATACTACCAGGACTGCTACTACTTTTTTAGAAATATTAAGCATCAACCCTTTGTATTAGTAGGTTACCTGTAGGATATATCTGTAATGCTGCTAGTTTACTAACGAAAAATGTAAGTAATAGTCCACAGTCTCAAATCTGAAAAAGGCGGCTTCCGGTGAGCAATGCGTAAGAGCTCTTAAGCCGGATATGGACCATACAGGGCTCCATTAGTGTGTTCACATTTGGTGGCCTAGCGGTCATTTGTGCTTGACAATAGCACACTGTCACAAAGCTCCTTTCTTGCGCCTTCCAAGACCCATCCTCTGTTAAGCCGCTAGCAAAAGTTCATCCTCGGAAGCTGCAAGGGTCAAGGCTGTTATCAGCATGACGAATTCTTTCATGTCCTCCGGGTATTGGGTCCTCCACGGCCCGAAGGTGCGCATTCTTAAATGCGACCTAGGGGTCACTGGCCCTTTGCCTTTGAGATAGTCGAGGTGATCTTCATGGCATGAGGCGAAAGTGGCATAGATGCAATGCCGATTTTGGGAGATCAGGACTCGGCTGGAGACCTTGTTAATTCACGCTATTAATATGAGAGACACGGCTCACTGCCTGTTAAGGTCCGGGTCCTGATGCCGTTAATCCACCGCAATCGCCCGTTCCGCGGTCTCGCCCGGGGCGGCCATGGTAGCATAGACTTCAATCATAAGGCGGTTCTCCATCAGCCATCCGAGCATTTCAGAGGCCTCTTGCATCTGTATGGCCTCCTTGCGCTCACTTCTCGTGCGCGCCTTGACCTCAACGATGGCGATGGTCTTCTTGGAGATTCCAGTGCGCATCGCACCATCGGTGAATGCAGTGCCAACCAGTATCCGCAGCTGCTGAACTCGCATCCATGTATCCCAGGCAATGCCGAGCTTCCTGGAAAAAAAGATCATTGCATCGACGTATGCCTTGTTTGGTCGGCATATTTTGGCAGAATGCAAGAAGACACACCATCCAGTGCGTTTTGACGATGAGGTGTTCCATCGGTCCCATAACGACCGCAACATTACGAGCGTCCGACCACGAGTATGTCGTTGGGTTAAGTTCTCGTAGCTGGAATTGATGTCTGCAATGAAGTCCAGGCCTTCGAGGTCCCCCTTGGCGGAATCCTGCTTAAACTTCCTGCCGAGCTCTTTGAGATACTCGTGGTTGAAGCGCGACGTGGCCGGGTCGTCCTTCCACACCCGGGTCTCGGTGAGCTTTATGAACGCCTTGATATTACAAGGCGAGGACGGCCAGGGCGTGGCCGATAGGAACCAATGTGCAGAGTGCCAGCATTCCTTCAACGCGATCAGGATGGCGATGATCTGGTTCGTGTTGCTATAGCTGATATGGCATTGGTCGCGAAATGTCCAGGCAACGGGGATTCGATGCGCCTTCGCGTAATTGATGGGGCCTTTCTTCTGGAGCCATCGCTCCTGCTAGGAGTCAATGGCAGTTGATATTGTACTGCGTCATCGGTGGTAATGAAAGGTGAGGCCTTCTGAGCCACCTGCAGTGGGCAACTCGCCGAATGAAGTTGATCGCCTGCAGACAATCGCGTAAGGCGGCCTGGTTGCCGTCAGGAACCACAGCATGCCACTCCCTTCTCGCCATGGTATCTCCATTCTACCGTAATGACCATCTCGCCATAAACTAAAAACATTCGCTCATGTTCTTGAGAGTTGCCGTGGGGTACATAAGCATCAAGGACGGTATTTCGAGACCAACCTGATGGAGATTGTCTCGGTATAGATGCATGAACTCCTGATGCAGCCATACTCGTCCACTGGAGGCAATCCCGCAAAGCCAGTTGCAGATCCACGATTCGGTACCTCACATTTCCGTACGGTCTGTTTTGTTTAAGGGCGTAGAAAATAGCCTCCAGCTGCTTGAAGACATCGGACCTGCGTTCGGATGCGCTGCTCTGAACCCCGGCTGCATAGTCAGCTCTAGGAAAAGCGCGATATTCGCCGAGGTTGTCTCTAACGGCGTGTCTGACAAAAACCACAACTGAGGCCGACGCGACAGATAATTGTCTTTCTCAATCAAGGTATTGCCCGGCGTCTCTATAAGCGTCTATATAGTCCGCAAAATTAGCACTAGAGACTTCTACTGTGAGGGCGTACTGGTCCAAGCAGTCACTTACCTTGCCTAAGCCCATATCATCTGTCAGAAACCCGTCTCGCATCTAGAACATCTCCACCAAAAACATGAGAAAGATCGCGAACAGCTGGTACGGGTAGAGCGCACGCAGAAAGCCCATCTCATCCATATAGTGGGCCAGTTGTCCTAGTTTAAGGGCCAGAGATCAAGATGCAGATGCTCAAGCACATATCATTATCCACATCCACGACACCTGTGCTTTCTGAGGTTCGGCGTGTTCCATGATTGATGACTGGGGATGCGCTCGCTATTTGCTTTTCTCTCGCTGCCAGGTGCTCCATGTATTCGTGCAGCAATAACGCAAAGGTGCGGGTATAGCTGTGCTCTATAGCAACCATACCAGGATGCTGCGGCGACTCCAGAGATGAGCATGACAGAGAGAGAGTATAAGAAATGACTGCAGTATATATGATCAAGAGGAAAGATCAGGAGGAAGAGAGAGGGAGAGACCTCCTATTAAGACCCTACGGAAGAGTGACTCCATTGCCCAACGCACACCCATCACTACACCACCGTCACTCCAACATCACCATCACCAACAAACAAACCAGCAGTCACTCCCGAACAGCAAGCAATCAACCATCAGTCAATGAACGAATGAATGAATCCCCCACGTTCTGACCCCCATAATGAATTTAGCCAAATGTCCGATCGGACCGACTCCGACATCCCACCTCGGCTTGCATCCCGCGCATCATCACCGATGCTTTATTAACCGCGCTCATGGCCTGTAACTAACCCCCACGATTATCCTTCACTCCTCATTACTCATACTCAATTCACCATGTCCAAACCCGCTGTTGGCTTTGTCGGCCTCGGAGCCATGGGCTTCGGCATGGCCACCCACCTCGTGAAGGAGGGATACCCCGTGCACGGCTTTGACGTCTTCCCCGCTTCCGTGCAGCGCTTCCAGGCCGCGGGGGGCATTCCAGCCGCGTCGCTGCGGGAGTCTGCAGAGGGGAAGGACTTCTACGTGTGCATGGTGGCGTCCGCGCCGCAGGTGCAGTCGGTGCTGTTTGGCGACGACGGGATCGTGCAGTGTACGCCAGCATCCATACAACCACCTCATGAGCAACCAAGCTGACAGACAGGAACAGACCTCCCCCCCAACGCCACCCTCCTCCTCTGCTCGACCGTCGCCGCCTCCTACGCCCAGTCCGTCGCGGCGGAGCTGCGCGCCCGCAACCGCGGCGACATCCGCTTCGTCGACTGCCCCGTCTCCGGGGGCGCCAAGCGCGCCGCCGACGGCACGCTGTCCATCATGGCCGGCGCGCCCGAGGAGGCGCTGCAGAGCGGGCGCGCGCTGCTGCAGGAGATGTCTGCGCCGGGCAAGCTGTATCTGGTGCCGGGCGGGATCGGCGCCGGCAGCAACATGAAGATGGTGCACCAGGTGCTGGCGGCGATCCACATCCTGGGCGCCAGCGAGGCGATGGGGCTGGCGGCGTCGCTGGGGCTGGAGGCGCGGCCCATGGCAGAGAAGATCATCGGGTCTGATGCGTGGACGTGGATGCATGAGAACCGGTTTCCGCGGATGGTCGAGGAGGACTGGAATCCGGGTGCGAGTGCGGTGACGATTATTCTGAAGGATGCTGTACGTGTCCCCTTTCTCTTCTGACTGCGATGCAGGTTTTCTCAGTGAAGCGTGAGAACTAACGAAGGCAGGGCATCATCACGACCTCCGCGCGCGAACACCACTTCCCCACGCCGCTGTGCTCGACCGCAGAGCAGATGTACCTGGGCGCGCTGGTGCAGGGCTGGGGCGCCAAGGACGACTCGGCGATGGTGCGCCAGTACTTTGCGCAGCCCATCGGGCAAGTTGCAGCGACGGCGGCGGATGCGCCGGCCGCGCAGGAGCTGGTGCTGGACCTGATGCGGGTGGTGAACCTGGTGGCGGCGGCCGAGGCGATCGCCTTCGCGCGGTATCTGAAGGTGGATCTGAAGCAGTTTCACGGGCTGGTGGCTGAGGCGGCCGGCGCCAGCCGGGTGTTCATTACGCAGGGCCTGGATATGATCGAGGGCCGGGTGGGCGCGAACGCGGAGACGGTCGATGCGGCGGTTGCGCGGCTGGAGAAGGTGGTGCAGAAGGCGCGCGATCTGCACTGTCCGTTACATTTGGGCAATGCGGCGCTGAGCGTGCTGTTGCTGGCGCGGAGGGCTGGATTGGGTGGTGAGGGGAGTACGAGTGTGATCAAGGTGTGGCAGTGATGTATACATACATAGAATGAAATTTATCCATTGTTCGAGTACATACGTTGTGAACACGGTCCTTGTAGACTACGTAACTACAATATATCTAGCGAATCTAATTCCATCTAATTCCCCTATTCACTGGGTAAAGACAAGACAAGACCAGAACAGCCGAGCTGGATGAATCCATCCGAATTGTGCACCGGAGCAACTCCGGCCTCGGCCTCCCCGCCGTGGGGTACTACTAACTAGTATATGTACTCCCTCCATACGATAAATAACTTCCCCTCTGCAGTCCTACACAGCGCACAACCATCTTTTCCTCTATCCTCTCCTCTCATCTCCTCTTCCTTCCCCGTCTTATCCTCCACTACGCCAAAATGCCCCTCACCAACAACCGCGCCGTGGCCCTCCTCAACCACGCCGCCACAAACCACTACGGCGTCCCCGCAATGTGCTGCTACAACCTCGAGGGCATCCTCGCGACCGTGCGCGCCGCCGAAGCCAAGCGCTCGCCCGCCATGATCCTCCTCTTCCCGTGGGCCGTGCAATACGCCGACGGACTGCTCGTGCACGCCGCGGCGGAGGCCGCGCGCAACGCCTCGGTGCCGGTGACCGTGCACATGGACCACGCGCAGACGCCGGAGATGATCCGGCGGGCGGCCGACCTGGGCGGCTTCGACAGCATCATGGTGGACATGTCGCACTACGAGAAGGCGGAGAACCTGGCGCTGACGCGCGAGCTGGTGGGCTACTGCCACGCGCGGGGCATCGCGACCGAGGCGGAGCCGGGGCGCATCGAGGGCGGCGAGGACGGGGTCGCGGACACGGCGGACCTGGAGGGCCTGCTGACGACGCCCGAGGAGAGCGAGGAGTTTGTCGCGACGGGGATCGACTGGCTGGCGCCGGCGTTCGGGAACGTGCATGGCGAGTATGGGCCGCGGGGGATCCAGCTCGAGTATGAGCGGCTGCAGCGGATCCATGCGCAGGTCGGGGACCGCGTGCGTCTGGTGCTGCATGGGGCGGATCCGTTTACGCCCGAGATCTTTGCCAAGTGCATCGAGTGCGGGGTGTCAAAGATTAATCTCAACAAGGTGCTGAACAATGAGTATGTCCGGGTGCAGCGTGAGAAGGCGGGCAAGGTGCCCTTGACGGCGCTGCTGGAGGAGGCGACGAACGAGATGCAGAAGGCTGTGGAGAGGTGTATGGACATGTTGAAGTCGACGGGGAGATATCCTAGCGCTTGATGCATATAGATTACCGCGTGTATGTGACTTTTTGCAGTTGATATAGATTGATGACTGTTGCATATATATACTTCTATGGTGTTGTTCATTTCCTCCAGATGGGATTCCTTAGGCCACACTCATCTCATTGTACACAAAAGGACAGATTTACATTTGCAATAAATGAACAAAAAGAATGAAAGAAAGAAACAGTTGCAAGTCATAGACAGTGAGTGTATGCAAAAGTGAAAAAAAAAGGTGAAAAAAAAAGAAGATGGACACATCGGGAATCGAACCCGAGACCTCCTCAATGCGAATGAGGCGTTATACCCCTAAACCATGCGCCCGATCTATATATTTGCGGCTGCTTATTGTGGTAGAAGAGACAGAGTTTAAGGAACTACTAGTTACTTATAATATGCATCGCTAACACCATTGATTTCATATTCACATCATCAGACAGTATAGATATGAGCAAAGTATGGACAGAATTAAAGTAAAGTACCTCAAGAAAGATTACCCGGCTGATCCATCTTCCGGACATGAATTCGTCCGCTTCACTGCCGCGCCAAGATCCGGACTTTTCGCAAGGGACAAAAGGTACATCCAAATGCAGTCGTATAATATCACAATTTACACCTATGAAACATCCGACAGGCTCCTCACCAACCGAGGGAATAAAAGCTAGTTACAATCGACAAAGAAAACACGAAAGAAAGAAATGCACTACAATCACAGCCTTTTATGCCTCTAATGAGCCGCCATCATCTTCTTGATCTCCGCAATCGCACGCGCCGGGTTCAGACCCTTGGGGCAGGTTCGTGAGCAGTTCAGGATGGTGTGGCACCGGTACACGCTCATGCTGTTGTCGAGCGCCGCCTTGCGCTCGGCCGTCTTCAGGTCACGCGAATCGGCCAGCCACCGGTACGACTGGAGGAGAATGGCGGGTCCGAGGTACTCCTCGCTGTTCCACCAGTACGAGGGGCAGGACGTCGAGCAGCAGGCGCACAAAATGCATTCGTACAGACCGTCCAGCTTCTTGCGGTCCTCGGGGCTCTGACGGTACTCCAGACCCTATGTCTTGTTAGAACACTCCAACCAGGCACATCCAGAGACACTTACATCCTCGGGCTTGGTGTCGTTCTGGAGATACGGCTTGATGGACTTGTACTGCTTGTAGAACTGGGTCAAGTCGGGCACCAGATCCTTGACGACGTAGGTGTGAGGCAGAGGGTAGATGCGAGATTCCTTGGCGGTATCGGTGGGAATACGGCCTATGGCAGTCAGAAGGATGACCTCAACCAGACGAATCAATGTCGAACGTACAAAGGCAAGCCAGGGTGTTGACACCGTCAATGTTCATGGCGCAGCTACCGCAGATACCCTCTCTGCAGCTGCGGCGGAAGGTCAGGGTGGGGTCCATCTCGTTCTTGATGCGGATGAGGGCGTCCAGCATCATAGGGCCGGTCTTGTTCAGGTCCAGGGAGTAGGCCTGCATGGTGGGCTTCTCGGCGGGCTTGTCGGGGTTCCAGCGGTAGACGTGGAAGGTCTTCATCCGGGGCTGTGCGGAGGGCACGGGGTCCTGGTCGACGTCTTAGACTGGGTCCTCGAGGAATGATTCGAGAAACATTGATCGCATCAGCTTACCTGGCTCTGGGCCTCCACCGTCGCATAAGAACGAGCAAAAGCGGCGGGGCGGAAGAGTGGCCGCGAGGAGGCGAAGAGGCGAGAAGTCGTCCGAAGAGCAGACATGGTGATGCGCAGGAGGAATCCGGGGAGACGAAGGAAAGGTCAGTGGTGATGGTCCGAAGGCAATGGCGGATGGGAGAGCGGAGAGGAGACGGAAGCACAGGGCGAGACAAGTAAGGAACAGCCAGCCAGCGGCAACGAACAACGACGACGAGGAGGAAGACGGGATGGAATGATGTTTTGTCGCCGTGCAAAGTAACCTCGGGTTGGGCGGTCGGCAATGCGCTGACTCAGCTGCCGGGGGCCAATCACACGGGGGGTAATTGCAAGCGTCGGGGAGAGACGGATAATCATATCTATACATACTGGTTATTACATTGTATATATTGTCTATTTTGTTCTGATTCCAATGATAACAAGTATGAGAAAAGACATATACCATGAGTATACTACTTCTCTATCCTTTTCCCAATTGAGTGGCTGATGTCACTTCCGATCGGCCGTCCCGAGGTGTCGTGTGTGGCCTGACGGGTGAGGCACCAACACATGAATGCACAGACGCACGTGATACGTACGAAGTACACGTGACATACCACGTGATCACCATCCTCGAGTCAGCTCTCTGTCTCTCACGATCTCAGCTTCTACTACTACCAAGTACATACAGCTGGACCTCTTGTTCCATTGAGCGATTCGATCTCAATTAAGCAACAATTTTCGTATGATAGATCATACGCGATGATGGCATTTTGTCCCTTTCTCAGAACACAGCGTTCTATTCGCTCTCAGTGGACAGTCCAACGAGAGTACTGACATATCATAGCATCATTTACGAATACTCTTCGACCAGGACGGCCCCTGAACTGGGCTGATATCTACTTCGTACAGCACTACCCCTTAATGAGTGAGGAGTGAGGCGGGCTTATCAACAATCAACAATGAACGTCTTATCTGGTCAATCTGAAAATCGATCAAATCAATACTCGTATACTCCCAACTCCATACGAGGTGATGGGATGAACATTATCTCCGACCTCATGGCCCACTGTGGACAGAGTCTGCACTGTTCCTGAGATCCACTGCACACTACGGAGTACACTCCGTACCTGTACTCTACGCCCATGCATCTCGGTCAATCCCATCAATTCTCGGAGAAATCTGTCCATGGAGTACGTATGCCGATCATAGCTCCAAGGAACGAAAGCATCAGATAAACATCATTTTTCCAGTATTCTCAGCCCAGCTCCATCGATCATCTCGGGACTTGTCCGGCCAAGACGGAAGAATTGCTTGATTGTGATCCGTCGACCAACATGTTGCTTTAGGCTCGCTGAGCTAAAACGCCGTAGCGGATATCGTGAAACATCGTCCTTCCCCCAATCACCCCACCGGCCGTCCATCGTCCATGGCCTCGATCTCTCTCCGAGGCACCTGTTCATGAACGGGGCATCCAAGGTGGACGTCCGATGGGTTCTTTCAATTAACATAACCACTTCCAATCACTCTACAACAGACGCCGGAACCATCCACATGGCCCGGCACAATGGAGCATCTACCCCCGGTGGGTTATGTTTTACTCTGCAGCATCCGTCGCATATCATCGAATTTCTTGGGCGTTTCACCTCGATATCCGCCCAATTTAACTCTGCAGTAGACTCCCCCAAGGCTTAAGCTTACCTTATTGCAAGTCCTCCCACGTATATAAACCCCGGAGCCCTCCGTTTCGGCTTTGGTAGTCCAGCTCCAACCCATTCATTCTTTCCTTCTACCCCTGTCCTTCTTTACCCTTTCGTTTGTCTCTTCCGTCATGAAGTACGCTTCGCTCTTCGGCGCCGCCGCGGCCTCTCTGGTCAGCACTGCCGCGGCCGTCAGTGTCTCTGT